TCCTTTTCATGGTTCACTGCAACTTCTGTCTCCTGGGTTCAAGCTATTCTCCTGCCTCAGCCTCCTGAGTAGCTGGAAGTACAGGCATGTGCAACCACACCTGGCTAATTTTTGTATTTTTAGTAAAGACAAGTTCTTACTATGTTGATAAGGCTGGTCTCGAACTCCTGACCTCAAGTGTTCCACTCGCCTCAGCCTCCAAAAGTGCCGGATTACAGGCATAAGCCACCGTGCCCGGCCTATATAGATGCTTTTTATATTCCAAAAATTATATGAAGCGCCTAGAAATCTGGTATGTCTTGGTATAAATGCTACCAGTCATAATTTTGGTTCAGAAATAACTAAATCTCCTTGTCAACTGTGTCATTATTATAATGAACTCTCATCAGGTTTTTAGCCATGGCTATTTTAAGTCTTGCTATCCACAGTTACTCTGTTCTGACACTTTTTCTGAAAACTCTTTGCAACCAATTATAATTCTAAAGTGCTGTGTCTTAAAAGACGTATATGGGAAAAATGAAATGAACTCTAACGAATACAGGTTTGAGTTCATACTATTGAACTGAATATCTAAAATTCTAATAAATTTGTGTAACTGCTAATCAAAATCAAACAGCAAAAATTACACGAGACTGAATTGATAAAGAAGAATAACCACTTTTTATGGCTTATTTGAAACACTGCTGGTTCTTTTAATGTTTTGTTTTCCAGATTTAAGGAAACTGTTTTAAACTTTTTATAACTTACAGCAATTTGGTTAAGTACATATATATACGTGTATATATATATGTGTATATATATATATATATATATATATATTTTTTTTTTTTTTTCAGACGGAGTTTCGCTCTCGTTACCCAAGCTGGAGTGCAATGGCGCAATCTTGGCTCACCGCAACCTCTGTCTCCTGGGTTCAGGCAATTCTCCTGCCTCAGCCTCCCGACTAGCCGGGATTACATGCACACACCACCACGTCCAGCTAATTTGTATTTTTGTTTTAGTGGAGACGGGGTTTCACCATGTTGACCAGGATGGTCTCAATCTCTTGACCTCGTGATCCACCCGCCTCGGCCTCCCAAAGTGCTGGGATTACAGCCTTGAGCCACCGTGCCGGGCCTAAGTGTATTTTTGTAATAAAAATAAAACATCTCTTTTCTTCCCAACAGGATCCTTCAAGAATTTGCAAACTATTCAGGACTATTCTTATTTTTATGGCAATATCATTATTTGCATAAGTTCAATAAGTATTTGTCCTTTAAATAACAGGATACAACTGGAAACTGGTTATGTTACCAAGGCTTCACTGGAATGCCGTATTTCAAAATGTACAAACAATGCCTGGCTTAAAGCATTCCCTGCCTTACAGTGAGTAAATCTGTCTCTTCCTGGCAGGCTCAGGAACCTCCAGATGTTGGATGCAGGAGGCAAAAACTAATGTCTGCCTTGGTTTGCCTTCCTAGCAGAGACATTTTTAAAACTCTAACTTGAGATTCCTTGTCAAAATTTCCAGCAAAGCAAATTTAAATATGTGGTTTTAAATATGTGGTTAGTCAGGCAGACTGGTCTTACTGTGATTATCTTTGGTAGAAATGGGAGTGACTGTAGAGAAGAAAATTACATTTCAAAAGAAAATTCCAATATGCCCGTCAGACTGTAGCCTTGTTTATTAAGTCTTCATTATCTGCCTGTACATTGCACTGAATTCTGAATTCTTTTAGTTTTCTCTAATATCCAGCTACAACTATCCAATGAAGAACTGCTCACTTCCTGAAGCCCTATGAGCTGAAGCTGGACAACTCCATGTAAATGTCAAGGAACAAGTCTCATGCCTAATGCATGGGCCACGTACAGACTTCACTAGGATGGCCAATGCCATAACCAGAGACATTTCACAACTGCCAACCATATCAGAGCAAGACTCCCTCTCATAATAAGACTCTTACCTTCCTTCATTTTTCCTGACTTATGCCTAACTCTCACTTGGTAGGACAACACTGTAGTTCAAATTTCACCATCAGTAGCCTCTGCAGGTAACTTGCACTCCCTGCTTTAATTTAACCCAGTCATGGGATGCTAGATAACCTACTAACTCAACAGAGAATAATCTGTGCAGTTGATGATGCTTCTTGCGGCACACAAATAAATACATCAGGTACTGCACAGCAGACTACTTGGTTGCAACAAGGTAGATACCTTGTCTGGCTATTTGATTTTAGTTGGTTCAGTTCACAAGGGCCCTAGCTGAGGAGCATACTCCACCCAAACTCTTGGTATTACCCTCCTCAGAGTCGTAACAGCAGTCTCCCTGGTGTGCTGTATCCCCTTAAAAAGTTTTAAATGTTTTTATACACCAACTTGTCAAACGTCAATGATCTTGCTCCAGCTAGAACAAGAAAAACAAAACAAACAAAAAAAAAGATGTGTGATAATAATGACACCAGAACCTATAAAGTCTATCCTGGGACCAGAAACCCAAAATGATGGTAGCTGAGAGTGGTACTGATGCCCGAAGGTTTGGTCAGGCCCTGGGTGAAAGCCTGACAGAAAGGGATGAATAGTTACATAAAAATTATAGGAGGCCACGCTGTTTTGGACTAAGTGTCTCTACTAGACCCCAAAAGACCAGACTAAAACTCAAAATGCAGTCATCTATGTAGGTCTCGTTACTAAACCTAAACCTGGGAAGTTCATTTGATCTTCCCAGAATTCGAGAGAAAGAGTGAACAACCAATTTCTTAAACATGGCAGTTTAAATTTTCAACGGGTATCTTATGAATATCCCTCTGCTTTAATCCTTATACAGGAAAGGTGACCTGAAGAAGCCTCATATTAACTAGTCAAAACAAGTTTTCTCTTTTCTGTCTCCCTGTCCCAAACTGACAAGAAAAGTAACTTTGAAAGGACTTTGCTTCTGCTCTCTTCAGCCCTTCTCTGTCTATAAAGCCAACCACTTCTGCTCAGCTCAGTGGAACACCTACTGAATTTTATGGAGAAGTGTTGCTTGGTTCTAGAACCACAATAAAGCCAACTAGGATCTATAAACTGGGGGGAAAAAAAAGGCAACAGACTTGCAGTTTAAAAAAATAGGACTTTTTCCTTTTTGAGAAGGAGCTTTGCTCTGTTACCAGGCTGGAGGGTAGTGGTGCAATCTCGGCTCACTGCAACCTCTACCTCCCAGGTTGAAGTAATTCTCTGCCTTAGCCTCCCGAGTAGCTGGGATTACACGTGCCTGCCACCACGCCCAGCCACCTTTCCCCTTTCTCTGGGCTGTCACAAATCCTCCCCTGCGCCCCAGCAACACACCTTGGACCCCCCAGGCTGGCTGCATGCCCCACACCTGGGTCAGGCCTCTCACAGGGACTCTCCTACCACTGTAATAAAGAGGAGAAAGCCTCACTGTTAGGAACAAGCTGCCTTAGAAAACCTCCTCAGTGCCAGCTGACCCTTTTCCCCCACTTTGATTGCTCTGCAGCTGCATTCCTGAACCCCTACCTAGGCATCACATCAAGGCTGTCAGTCTAACTACGATTAAGCAAAGCCTGATTAAAGCCATCAAGGCAACTCGAGGGAGGATGGATTTTTTTTGTATTTTTAGTAGAGACAGGGTTTCACCATGTTGGCCAGGCTGCTCTTGAACTCCTGGCCTTGTGATCCACCTGCCTCGGCCTCCCAGAGTACTGGGATTACAGATATGAGCCACTGTGCAGGGCCAAAAAAAAAAAAAAAACCAGTTTAAAACTACAATAAAAGGGCTGGGTGTGGTGGCTCATGACTGTAATCCCAGTACTTTGGGAGGCCCAGGCTAGCGGATCACAAGGCCAAAAGTTCGAGACCAGCCAGGCCAACATGGTGAAACCAATCTCTACTAAAAATACAAAAATTAGCTGAATGTGGCAGCACACACCTGTAATCCCACTACTCGGGAGGCTGAGACAGGAGAATCCTTGAAACTGGAAGGCGAAGATTGCAGTGAGCCATAATTATACCACTGCACTACAGCCTGGGTGAAAAAGTGAAATTCCGTCTCAAAATAAATAAATGAATAAAAGTACAATGAAAGAAAAAATGCCATTCACAAAAGCAACAGAAAAGCCGGGTGCAGTGGCTCATTCCTGTATTCCCAGCACTTTGGGAGGTCAAGGTGAGCGGATCATCTAAGGTCAGGAGTTCGAGACCAGCCTGACTAACACGAAGAAACCCCATTTCGACTAAAAATACAAAAAAAATTAGCCGGGAGTGGTGGCGCATGACTGTAATCCCAGTTACTCAAAAGGCTGAGGCAGGAGAATCACTTGAACTCAGGAGGTGGAGGTTGCGGTGAGCTGAGATCATGCCACTGCACTCCACAGACTGGGCAACAAGAGCAAAACCCCGTCTCAAAAAAAAAGGCAACAGAAATTATAAAATAACCAGGAAAAGCAAAAAATGTTTAAGATCTATATTAAGAAAAATTCAAAATGCTTTCTATCTGAGGAATAGAAAAGACAGCTTGACTACATACAAAGACAACATTTTTTCTTGCTTAGAAAGAGAAGTATCATAAAAACTGCTCTATATATAAGATTTGTTTCAGATTAGGCAAACTGATTTATATATACACAAGTCTACTTTTATTTTGGAACTAAAAAAGTTGATGGTAAAATCCATATAAAAATTTAAGTGCAAGACTATCCAGGATGATTCTGAAAACTGGGATAATATGGGGAGAATGAACCCAATCCAACAGTAAAATATACTACAATGTTGTGGCAAAGACAACAGTGCAATCTGGTGCATTAACATTCAGATGAAACAATGGTGCAGAGATTCAATCCAAAAACAGACTGAAACATACAGCTTCTAAATCTAAGGGTACATGAGGTAGAATGGAAAAGGGTCTGTTCTCAGAACAAGTTCAAGAGGCGCTCTCAGCTATTCTACAAAAAGGCCCACAAGAGTGGCTGAAAAATCAGATCACCAATTTGCAATTATGTCTCCTTGTATGTTTAAAGAAAACTCACTTCTGTCAGGATGACATCATCATCCAGGTCCTCTTCTTCATGTTGCTGAGGAGCTGGGGTGACCAGCATTGGAATCCCTTCCTCATCTGAGGAGTCAGATATGGTGATGGGCCCATCTCTGAGATTGATCCACTCTACAGGAAAGCAGAGAACACTGTTACCGGGACGCTGGCACTATCACATCCAACCCTTTAAGTTTGTCCTGACAAGGGTACAGCCTAAAGCCAAGTTCATGGCTACTAGCGTGTTCACTTAGCTCCTCAAGCAGTCCCTGCACTTAAGCATTAACAGCCATGTTTCTATGCTGATTTCTGTAAATAACACATTTTGGGAACTGCTAGAGAAGATCCGACAACTACTATGATCAATATTATCAACTTGTTCTCATACTAGGCTGGAGAAATCTGTTCGTAACATTTTCTTGACTGCGAATTTCTTTAAAGTAAAATAATGGTCTCTCAATCCATCTCCATTCCTCTGAGGAATAAAAGGTTATTTTATTTAAATTGCTTGGTCTGAAAAAATTATCATGCAAAAATAGTAAAACTTTATTTAAAATATTGAAATTTGTTCAGCTTAAACATAAACTTTAAGAATCATTTAAGCAAATGTGCTTCAATACTTTAGTCAAGCACCCATGTAGCATCTATGACAGTGAGCAACTTAATTTTCCTAGTTTCCTTTTAAATAGGTACTATAACCATCTAGATGCAGTAATTCTATTCAAGGTTTTTACTTCCTTTTATCAATTTGAAAACAGGCCAGGCAGGGCATGATGGCTCATGCCTGTAATCCCAGCTGAGGCGGGTGGATCACGAGGTCAGGAGTCCAAGACCAGCCTTCCCAAGATGGTGAAACCCCATCTCTACTAAAAATACAAAAATTGGCCAGGCACGGTGGCAGGCGCCTGTAATCCCAGCTACTCGGGAGGCTGAGGTAGGAGAATCGCTTGAACTCGGGCAGCAGAGACTGCAGAGAGCTGTGATTGTGCCACTGCACTCCAGCCTGGGTGACAGAGTGAGATTCCATCTCAAAAAATAAAAAAATAATTAAAAGAACACAGCATGGTCTACAAATCAAGTGTACAGTTCTGTGAATTAATACAAAAGAGCCATCTGTGCATAATCTTCACCACAAGATCAGGAAATATTTCTAGCACATTAGTAGTTTCCGTATGCTTCCCATCTCCCAATCTCTGCTCTCTTTTCGTCCCCAAAGGGAGGATTTCTAATTACACAGATAAGTTTTGCATGTTTTTGAGTACATATTCTTCTCTGCTTGGCTTTCTTGCAAATAATCTTTGAGATACATCCGTATCGCATGCTGCTGCAATACTTTGTTGTATATAACACACTATATGAAGTTAACATAAATTATTCATTCTTCTGTTGATAGACATTTGAGTATGTGGCAGTTTAGGCTATTGTAGATAACGCCATTATGAACATTCTTGTGCAAGTCTTTGGTGTACTCATTTTAGTTGGATATATTCTAGGAGTGGAAATGCTGAGTCATGGAGTAAGTATATGCTCCATTTTAGTAGACAACGCTAAACAGATTTTTCAAATTGGACCAATTTACACTCCCATCTGCAGTGTAGAATGGTATGTTGCTTTACTTCCTTACTGGAAGGCAACCATGTACATTCATTTATATACTGTCTATAGCTGCTAATATGCTTTGGCTGTGTCCCCACCCAAAATCTCATCTTGAACTGTAATCCCATCATCCCCACATGTCAAGGGCAGGACCAGGTAGAGGTAATCAAATCACAGGGGCAGTTTCCCCATTCTGTTCTTGTGATATTAAGTCTTGAGGTATGTGACGGTTTTATAAGCATCTGGCATTTCCCCTGCTTGCAGTCACTCCATCCTGCCTCCTGAGAAGGTACCTGCCTCTCCTCTGCCTTTCGCCATGATAGGAAGTTTCCTGAGGCCTCCCAGCAATGTAAAACTGTGAGTCAATTAAACCTCTTTCCTTCATAAATTACCCAGTCTCAGGTATTTCTTCATAGCAGTGTGAGAGCAGACTAATACAGTCGCTTTCATGCTACAATGGTAGAGCTGAATACTTGCAACAGAGACCACACGGCCTGCAAGGCTACAGTATTAACTACTTAGCTCTCTAAATTTGCTGAGCCCTGGTTGTGGGTACTAATTTCTCAGCTTTTCTTCTCCCTTTTTTCCCCCAGACTGGGTCTTGCTCTGTTGCCCAGGCTGGAGTGCAGTGGTGCAATCTCAGCTCACTGCGACCTTTGCCTTCTGGGTTCAAGTGATTCTTGTGCCTCAGCCTCCTGAGTAGCTGGGATTATAGGCTTGTTACACCATGCCTGGCTCATTTTTGTAATTTTAGTAGCGGTGGGGTCTCCCCATGTTGCCTAGGATGGTTTGTTTGTTTTTTTGCGACAGGGTCTCTTTTTCTCGGTTGCCCAGGCTGGAGTACAATAGCATGAATATAGTTCTCTGCAGTCTTGACCTTCTGGGTTCAAGTAATCTTCCCATCTTGGTATTCCAAGTACCTGGACCTGGTTGACCCAAGACCACCATGTCCAGCTAATTTTTATATATATAATTTTTTGTAGAGATGTGAGTCTCACCACATTGCCCAGGCTGGTTTTGAAATCCTAGGCTCAAGTTATCTTCCCACTTTGGCCTTCCAAAGTGCTGAGATTACAAGCATGAGCTACTGTGCCTGGCTGACCTTTACTTCTTGTCCAACGTATTTTAGGCCATAAGTTTTCTTTAAAACATGGCATTAGATGTATCTCATAAATGTAATAGACCATATTTTCATTATCATATCATTCAAAATATTTCTAATTTTGATTTCTTCTTACGCTGGGTATAGAATCCCACATATGTTTATTACATTTGTTGACCATGTTCTTCCAATCTTCTATATTCATACAAGTGTGTGTGTGCTTACTTTTTCAGTTACTCAAACAAGTCTTAAAAATCCCTACTATAATTGTACATTTGTCCAATTCTGTTTTTAGATCTGCCATTTTTGCTTTGTATAGTTTTATATCATGTTACTAAGTATACAGGGATTAGAACTACGTTATCTTCCAGTACAATGAGTCTTTTATCATTATGAACTCTATCAATGCTTCTGGCTGGAGTTTCTATCAGTTTTATCTGATATTACACAGACATATCACCTCTTTCTTCTTTTTCGCTATTTGCATGATGTACCTTTTTTCATTCCTGACAAAATTTTTAAAAATCTTTATTTAATCTTCATTTCTAAGCCTATTTCCACTAGGTATAAAATCTAGATGAGTAGGTAAAAACACTATATAGCAATTAAAAAAAAAGAATTACTGATATACGCAGTAACAGGGATGAATCTCAAAAACATTATCGTTCACAAAATAATTCAGGTATAAAGAATATATACAGTATGTACATTTACATGAAATTACAAAGTGAAAAAAAGCAGATTAGTGGTTTTCTCAGGCCTAAAGTGGGGTAAGGACTGACTGCAAAGAGGCACAAGGGAATCTTGTTGGAGTGATAGAAAATGTACTATATCATAATTCTGGTGGTATATTCAATTTGTCAAAACTTATTGAACTATAAATTTAAAAAAAAAAAGCTACAGAGGTTGGTGCATAATAAAAATTGTTAATGTTGGCCAGGAACAGTGGCTCACGCCTGTAATCCCAGCACTTCAGGAGGCAGAGGCAACTGGATCACTTGATCCCAGCAGTTCAAGACCAGCCTGGCCAGGCAATATAGAGACCCTGTCTTCACTAAAGAAAAAAAAAAAAGTTAATACAGCTAATAAAAACAAAATAACACTATACATCTGAAAAAAATTCTCATGATGGGTGCAGAGCATATATAACTCGTCTAACAGAAAAATAGTGGGTGCAGAGTATACATAGCTCGTCTAACAGAAAAATGTATCTCCAAAGTCAGTAATTTTCCAAAAGGAATTAGCTGTTCTTAAAGAAACTGTTCATGTATATTTAAGATCCCATTAAAAAACAACTACATAGAGCAGAAGTCATCTTCTAGTCTTTCAGAAAAACAAAAAACAACATTAATCCGATATACACGTACAAAAAATTTTGAAATGATCATAAATAAGGGTTATAACAAGATTTAAAACTGTCTGAATCCCATAAATTATGGCTACCATTACTACCAAGTTAAAATACACTATTAATAAAATCTTAAAAATTACTCCTACTTTTGTACTCATAATTTGCATAGCTTGAGCAATTTCACTACTCTTGATTTACTTACCTCATAAAATTTACTCCATTTTAAATGCTCTGAAAGCCAAATATACAGTGGACTCTTTGGCAACACTGATTTCAACAGTGTGGGTCAACTGACTTGCAGATTTTCTTCCACTTGTGTCACTCCTGAGACAGCAGGACTGCACAGGCTTTCGGGAGCCTACCCCTTGCAACAGTGTGCCCTCAACGTGAGACATGGAGTCAAAGGAAATTATTTTCGAACTTTAAGATTTAATGACTGCCCTGCTGGGTTCTGGACTTGTGTGGGACCTCTAGCCCATTTCCTTTGGCCAATTTCTCCCTTTTGGAACAGGAATATATACCCAATGCCTGTACCCCCACTGTATCTTGAGAAAAACAAACTTGTTTTTGACTTTACAGGCTCATAGGAGGAAGGGACTAGACTTGTCTCGGATAAGCCTTTGGACTTTTGAGTTGATGCGGGAATGAGTTAAGACTTTGGGGACTGTTGAGAAGGCCCAATTGTATCTAGAAATGTGAGAAGGAGAAGAGATTTGAAAGCGGCTGGGGTGGAATAATATGGTTTGGATCCGTGTCCCTGCTCAAATTTCATATTTCATTGTAATCCCCAACGTTGGAGATGGAGCCTGGTGGAAGGTAAACGGATCATGGGGGTCATATTTCCTGAATGATTTTGCACCATCCCCTTTGGTTACAACAGTGAGTTCTTGTGAGATCTGATTGTTTAAAAGTGTGGCACCTCTTCCTCAACCCCTCTTGTTCCTGCTCCAGCCACGTGAGACACATCTGCTTCCCCTTCCCTTCTGTTGTGATTCTGCTTCCTGAGGACTCCCCAGAAGCAGAAGCTGCTATGTTTCCTGTACAGCCTACAGAATTATGAACCAATTAAACTTCTTTTTTCTTTATAAATTATCCAGTCTTGGGCATTTCTTTATAGCCAGTCGAGAACAAACTAACACAAGGACCAACCTCCCTTCTTCCTCCTCTTCTTCAGCCCACTCAATATGAGGATGATGAAGATGAAGACCTTTAGAATGGTCCACTTCCACTTAGGGAACACTAAATAAATTTTCTTTCTCTTTTTTACAACTTTCTTAACAACACTTCTTTTCTGTAGCGCACTTTACTGTACGAATACGGTATATAATACATATAACGTATGAAACATGTATTGACTATGTTATCAGTAAGGATTCTAGTCAATAGTAAGGCTGGAGTGCAGTGGCAATTCTCCTGCCTCAGCCTCCCAAGTAGCTGGGATTACAGGCACGCACCACCACATCCAGGTAATTTTTGTATTTTTTAGTAGAGATGGGTTTCACCACATTGGTCAGGCTGCTCTCGAACTCCTGACCTCATGATCCACCCACCTCAGCCTCCCAAAGTGCTGGCATTATAGGCGTAAGCCACCGTGCCTGGCCTGGCCTGAGCCACTGCACCCAACAGAAAATTCACATATTGATACAAATATGCTAACAAAACATGGGCTAAGGGTATCATTTTTGTAAGGTCCAATGTAATTTACTCTCAGCTAGAAAAAAATCATCTTTGTAAACACAAAATATTATCAATGAGAGAAAACAAAACCAGTGTAACCTTTTCCACAGAATTTATAAGTGCAAAAAATGAACATAAGGATTGTATACCTCAGCATGAATTTCTTCCTTTTAGCACAAGTGTAAATGTGAATTCGAACTTAACAGGAAATTTCATAAACATTTAAGAATGTTACAGAAATGCAAGCACTATTCCTTTACAAATTAATAAAATTCCCCAAAACTTTAAAAATTGTACAACAGGCCGGACACGGTGCCTGATGTCTGCAATCCCAGCACTTTGGGAGGCTGAGGCAGGCAGATCACCTGAGGTCAGGAGTGAGAGTTAGATACCAGCCTGACCATACAGAGAAACTCCGTCTCTACTCAAATTATAAAATTAGCTGGGCTTGGTGGCACATGACTATAATCCCAGCTACTCAGGAGGCTGAGACAGGAGAATCGCTTGAACCCAGGAGGCAGAGGTTGCAGTGAGCCGAGATCATGACCCTATACTCCAGCCCTGGGCAACGAGAGCGAAACTCTATCTCAAAATAACAAAAACAGAAACAAAAACAAAGAAACCCATAGAACAAACAAAGAAAAACATGTTCCAAAATTCCCCTAAAGGCTAAGGCAGAATATTCTGGCAAAAAAAGAAATTAAGCATCATGTGAGGACAAGCCTGCTTCAGCATCACCTGTAGTACTTTCAGGTAATAAAGGTCTAGCGGAGCACTCCTTTATAATCACCATGCCTTCAAAAACTGACCCTGACACTGTCTCTTAAGACTCAATGACTGCATACTGGCAGCGTTTCACCACCAAATTAATAGCTTATTAATGTAGTTCTAATGAATGAAGTCTTAGACTTCACTCATGCCAGCGTTATCATCGTCTGATTTAATTCTAGTCTAACCAGTCTTTTTATGTCTAAAAATGAAATGTCTCTGGATTCTAAATGGTATAAAATAGGTTCATTTAAAAAAAGATATAGCTGTAACACTCAAAGAAAAAGCCACAGGGAAAGGGATAAAGTGTGAGCAAACAAAAACGTACCTTGTCCCCGATGGCAGTGAAAGTTGTTCAAGTGAATTACCTCTTCATTGTTGTTTCCTTCTGCCATTTTCAAATGCAGACATGCACATATGCAACTGCTAGTATCTAAACATGGTGACCATCTGCTTCAAAAGGTCTGAAAAGGAATCAAAGAGGAATAGTAAGAATGAGGGAGTATCAAAACTCTTACCATGTATCTGGTCAGGGGAACATATGAAGCTTACGCTGAAAACATTCCTTAAGAAAACATATGCAAGGAAGTGATTTAAAAAACACACACAACTCAAAACGTATGTCATTAAGCGTATTTGTAAAATACTCATATTAAAGAGACAAAGTACTAACAGAGAATTCACATATTAATATAAATATGCTAACAAAAACAGGCTAAGGGTATTAATAGGCAATTCACAAAAGAGAAAACACAGAACATGCTCCACCTCACTAAAATCAGGGAAAGGCAAATCAGAAAATGAATTGTTCCGGCCGGACACGTTGGCTCCCGCCTGTAATCCAGCACTTTGGGAGCCGAGTCTGGCTGATCGTATCATGAGGTCAGGAATTCAAGACCAGCCTGGCCAATGCGGTGAAACCCTGTCTCTACTACAAATACAAAAATTAGCCGGAAGTGATGGTGGGCACCTGTAACAGCTACTCAGGATGCGGAGGTGGGAGAATTGCTTGAATCCGAGAGGCAGAGGTTGCAGTGAGCTCAGATCGCATCACTGCACTCCAGGCTGGATGACACTCCATCCACTCCACCAAAACAAACAAACAGAAAAAAAAGAATTATGTTTCAAACTGTTAGCGTGGCAAAAAGGCAAGTATGTAAGAAATGGGAAATCTTATACATTGCTGGTGGTGCATGTCTGTAATCCCGTCTATTCGAAGGCCGAAATGAGAGAATCACTTGAACCCGCTTGCAGTAAGCCAAGATCATGCCATTACACTCCAGCCTGGGAAACAGAGCAAAACTCTCTCAAAAAACAACAACAACAAAAAAAAAAATCAGAAAAAAAGACTCTTCCTAAGAACCACTTAATGCTAATAAGACATGAGTCTCCTTAAGTAGCAGAGAAAAAA